TAATGCTTTGAAATCATGATGAGTGCCTGTGCTTGAGACCTGTTGGCCAACTTGCCTTAGGCAGGCTTCATGTCGAGAAAGCAAATGCTTTAATGCGACTTATAAAGTGTTTTAAAACAGTGAAAGAATAACCAGTCGTCGCAGAATGCGAATAGCGTAACGAGTTGGTCGCACAGTGCTCCAACCCATTACAAAAGCTTGTTCTTGTTCAGCTAATAACTGTAACGCGTACCCGCTTCAGGCATAAATCGTCGTCGTCGTCAGCCACTGCGTGAACAATTGGCACAAAATTTCTTGCGAGTGTTAAGCGGATACCACGCTTCTCAGAAGAATGACGAAGCACAGCATAGTGAATGCCGACTTACTACGCAAAAACTTTTATTATTACTGCCGTAGTGAGTATTAAACAGGTGTTCTTGCAGCAATGAGTGTTTAGAAAAGGGCTCTGAAAAAACACCCTTCTAGCTTTAGCTGGGATTGTGCTATGCCTTCCGCGCAGGCCTGGTTTTTTTTTCTTCTTCTTTCGTTTTTTGATAGCGCTTATTGACACCGGCGACCGTGGGCAACAACGGTGCCCGAAACAGCTGTTGTGATCTCATAAAAACGTTCGCTGTAAAATTGTGAGAATCGCTAAAGACACGGCATACCTTAATTTCTGTCAAAGGACACCGTCCAATCACCGCATTGACCACTGGCAAAGTAACGACATAGTGATGCTACACAAGCCAGAAGTTTGCCTTGAATTCTGCCCTTTGGCATAAGAAATATACATAAATTGAGAGGTTGATAAGAGGATCATGTACGGTGACGTAAGCAAGCAGGTTGCACTCGCGCATAAAGTCTATAACAAGGATTGGTAGAATGGACCTTTTATTTTCGCTTTTAAACCCGGAGGGCTCCCGGGATGGTGTTCAGACTGTTCAGTGGCATGACGTCAGACGTGGCGTTTCTGCGCAAGTCCCTTGACTGTATATGAGCTGTTTTGGTGCTGATAGACTCTCTCGCTTGCGTGCTACCTCTTGCGAACATGCCTCGCTCGCGTCGAGTGAAAACATCGTCCGAGCAGTTCATGCGCGACGTTAAGCTGCTTCTATCGTTGTCAATGCTTTGTCCTTCGGCGAAACTTCCCATTATTCTTTTTTTTCCTAACACGTGCGACCTTACCTATCCGACTTTGGTGTAATCGAGCAATTTTTTTCCGGGTGCTGGCTAAAACAGTGTGCCGGGGTTAGCGTGTAAACGATGCTGATCTTCCAACGAGGAAGGAACGGCATGTTGTGAGTGTATCATGCCTCGGGGAAGTGGCGGCTCTTTTAAAAAATTTCCTCTTCGGCGCAATGACCACAATCTTTCTGTACCACGTACTTCTACAGATAAACATTTCTGCTTTAGAAATTCAGAGATGGCCCCTGCGTGCACCTGTATAAATAGAGAAATGTAATAGGTCCCCAGACGTAGTAAAGAAGACTCAGAGTCCAATCTTGACTATATCAGCACCGGTTTTCAGGAGCGGATCTACTATGAACACGTATCAATCTAATGGCATATTTCATCAGAATTGCGGATTGCTTATCACAAGAACCGAACACTCAAGGTTCACGAGACATTTCGTAATCCATGCTTGCCTCCTTTGTTCCTTGTACCGAGTGTGTACCATTAACCACTGAAATTCAAGAAAAATTTGAACTCTTTCAGCGGCTGCTTCTCAACACTGAACATGATTGTGAACCTACTCATAGCGCCGAGAAAGCCATGACAACAATCGGAAGATAAACCAGAGAACAAAGCTACTACATGCATGTTTACGGCAAACGAAAGGCTGTTCTGGCCACCTCCTGCGACAAAAACTTCCTCATGTCAAAGCCCTCACATGGGTCACGGATCGAAACATCTGGTGAGATAGGCGGCAACACCAACGGTAAAAAAAAAAAGGATAATTCAGAAACAAAACTGTGGTTCGAGGCATGCGAGCTGTGCATGCTCACTTCGACTTTGCGAGGGTGTTCTGCGCATCGTCTTCGTTCTCTCCAAGGGGTGAAGCCGAGGTGATAAAAAAAAGTGTCAGGAGGTCTTCAAAAAAAAAAAAAAAACTGTTGTGGTCGATCCCGGCTCTGGCAGTGATGTGAACAAAAGAGCTCGAATGGTACGGCCTAAGATGTCACCCCTTCCTCCTGCGCACCTCCGCAATGAAACGGGTGAGTCACTGATATCGAGAAATTCACCTATATATATATATATATATATATATATATATATATATATATATATATATATATATATATATATATATATATATATATATATCAGGTAAAGAAGTGTATACCGAAGGGCTCGTTTTTCCATGTGTGTTGACACAATATTAATGAGACCTAAAACACAATGATGCCAAGTAATGTATAGAAAAGTTATTAGAACCAATGTAATGTAAATAAGAAGAAAGAAAAGTGGGTGAAAAAATAACTTGCTTTGAGCAGGAATCGAGCCTACGACCTTCGAATAACGCGTTCGATGCTCTACCACTGAGCTATCACAGCGGCTATCCCCGTCGGCCACTTTATTGGGTTTATATGTGAATTTAAACGTGGGAGTGTCGGTCAGCGCCACCTGTGGCCATGCCGGCTACATTATTTCACCCACTTTTCTTTCTTCTTAATCACATTACATTGGTTCTAATAACTTCCCCTATGCATTCTTTGGCATTTTAAATAAATAAGTATATATATATATATATATATATATATATATATATATATATATATATATATATATATAGTGGGAGTAATAATTCAATGGGCCAGTTAGTCTTCGTGAAGGTATGGGATATGGCACAACGGGAGCGTTGTCAGCAAGGATAAATATATTTATCCTTGTTGACAATGCTCCCGTTGTGCCATATCCTATATATATATATATATATATATATATATATATATATATATATATATAGGAATGTTCGCTAGGGTATGACGTCATAGAAGGAGTTTCTGCCCACGTAGCGTGACTCTCCCGCATGTGACTGGGAACGAAAGCTCAGGAAAACAGATTTGGGCAAGTTGATTTCTATTCATCTTCCAAACAACACCTCAACACAAGGGCGCAAACAGAAAAGACCGTATGGGTCAGTCAGCTGGTCAGCGAGTTGAGTGTCCAGCCGTTGTTTGCTCCTTCGTCGTCGTGTAGCTGCGCTGTTTTCACGAGGAACGGATGCTCCGCTCCTGTCAATATGGTTGATTGGGCGAGTTGGTGATACATGATTGGTTTGAAACGAGAGCGCACTGCTTAGCGCTTGTCCCTGTCTTTCTGTACGCGTCTAAGTAGTGCGCTGTCATTTTAAAACAATCTGCTCCTGTGCTTTTTTTCGTGTGAGGAAACGCTAATTGCCGGCGGCAAGGCAGCGATGCGACAAAACAGTGCGCTCCTGAATACGTGTATTCAGGAAGGACGTGTGCTACAAGTGAGTACAGCGGTAGCCCCTACACTTTTATCCTGAATATAACGTCCCTCGCTTCTTGGGTAGCTGTGTAGAAAAGAGCTCTGCGTTTACATCAGAATAGTTATATTGCTGTTACAGTCGAGCCACTTACCTTCTCTCTAATCTTTGCAAGCGATCGCTGGCAAGTCTAACTTGCATGAAGGAATGCATAATTGCGTGAGATTAGGCGTTGCACCGCATCGTGCAGGAGAGTCGAGTTGTTGTTGTTGTTTTTTAACAATGTAAATGAGGGTACAGAAAAAGCTAAGAGACCGAAACATTGAAAGAAGTTCCGCACACGGTCAAGAGATAACGCAAACCACCGCTGCAAGGCCAGCCAGCCCTCGTAGTCGGCCGCAAATTGAAGCATTTTTCCACGCCAAGGCTCTTGGCGCAGTACTTCATTAAAAGCACTCTCTTCGGGTGCCCTAGATTAACTGTGGTTAACCAGTAATTAACGGTGACTCAATTAAAAGAACCTCCGTAATGAACCACGTCTATGTTGAGTTTCGCTTTGGTAGTCTAAGGTGCTTGATTATTTTAGCTCATACATGGTTTACATTGCGGGATATCAGCAGTGGGTGCTTTCGCATGGTGTTCCCACCGTATCTTGTTCTCGCCGTACTCCCTTTCCTTTAGTCAAGCCGTATGACGCGGAAATGTTGCATAATAAATTCCAGGTGCCCTATAGAACTTTGGAGCGTTGCCTTTTTTTTTTTACTTTTAGAACTGTGTAGCGTTGCCGATTCAGTGACTCGGCAGCTATGGTGTGTAGCGGTTCACTCGATATACGTGGATTTGATCCCAGTCGCTGTGGTGGCATTTCGATTGAGGTGACACGTATGAGGCCCGTTGCAGTGTGCAATACCAGTGCACGCTGAAGGGCTCCAAGTGGTATCGATCGTCCGGAGCCTTCTACTGCAGTGTCGCTTGTAGCCTGTGTTGCATTACAATGCGAGACCCCACAAACAAACAAACCAATGTTTTTTTTTTTTTGGTCTCTTACATCAACGTATGCAAATTCGTGTACTTTTGATTTTCCTTATGTCTGTAAACATTTGTTATCTCTCTTTGAAGATAACCTCGTAGTCATGTCCCAGTAAAACATCCCAATTAACCTGTATACTTTCATTGGCCTTCCAAGATCCTCCCATGCATAGCACCTCCACATTACGAAAATTGGCATATTATGATTATCTTCCTGTAATATTTCTACAAAACCTCATGACCGTGAAACAGCGTCGGACAACTATTTTACTTGCAAAAAATATGGCACGAGTCAATCGTGCATCGTTAGCTTGTGTTGCAGAAAGTTTTTCATGTGAAGGCAAAATCACCAATAGAAATAGAAAATTGATTTCACTGGCGCGTTTGCGATAGCTAATGACTTGTGTTTATGCCGGCTATCGTGCTATGTTTTGTGTATTTCTAAAGAGAGAATCCCACAATGTCTTGTGTAGCTAGTGGTAGTGTTATATCTGTAAGGCCTTGCGGGCTGTAATATTGCGTATCGCAAGAAAATAGCCGGTCGCAGAGCAGCAAAGCATGTATTTATAAGCCATATGTACAACAATAAAGACAGACACGTTGACTAGAGTTGACTGTGAAGATAATCTTGTGCTTATGAGCCGATTCCCACTTACGCGGCATCTGGTAACGTCGCATTTCTGAAATGAGAGAAAAAAGTCACAGACGTTTTTTTTTTTTTTTTTTTTTAGAAACCGGAAGAAATTTCAGTCAGTTGGTGGTTAGTAGTTTTAAGCTGCAAGTATCAGACCTCCAACTTGTTTGTGGCATTGTTATAATACAAGCAAGTATTCAGGTTTGCGATGACTGGTTAATTTGTCATAATCAAACACTGAATTTCGTTTTCAGTCAAGAATGAATCATAGGAAAGCACAATCACCCTGGCGCGATTCAGGAAAAGCATCACAAAGATAACGTTTTGATCGGTGCATGGTGGTCACACAGAAAAACCACAGACAAGAACGGGCACGCAGCATGAGCAGTCTTACTAAATTAATGATGACCCTGCCTGCAAGTCATCATACTAAAATTAAAAAAAAATGTACATCGCTATTTACTGATATTAACCGCAAGCGCCCTCTTTTTGGCTTGAAGCGTGACTCAGCCGAGCATTCGAACTTATGTGTTATTTATATACCACAAGAAGCTCAATTTTCTTATATGAAATCATAATTTCACCCAGGCTAGAAGTTGTCTGTTTATTTCCGACAGCTTAGTTTATAACATTTTGGAATAACTCTTTCGCCTCCGCTATATTGTGTCACGCTTAAAGAAAGTGTTTTCGCTACATCTTTTCTAGGAACTTCAGTTATCGCTTAAAGGAAGTCAAGTAGGCCTTTAGAACGTTTTTTAGGGATACTGCAGGTCATTGTGACCACATATTGTAATGCTGAAGAACTATATTGGTTTATAAATGATTCTGTCACTACTTTTCTTAAGCTGAAGAAGTAACAGTGCACAAGTAACTATATTATTTTATAAATGATTCTATGACTACTTTTCCTAAGCTACAGAAGTAAAAGTGCTGAAACAAGACAGAGACGGCTCATTTCCATCCTGTTCCAGCACTGTTACTTCTTTCTTTGACGTTAGGTACCCCACAAGCCTTGTCAAATTTCTGTCAAAAGAAAATTACTTACTTTCCCAGCAAGAAAGGCTTCCACAGCTCGCATCTCTTTAGAATATTGTCTTGCTTCGTGGTGAACTTGTTCAGTTCTATATGAATTACATTGGGATTCTCGATGGTGTACTTAGGCCAGTCAACATCGGGTGGTGGAAGCACAGGTTTCCTGCAATATACATGCCGATTAAGGCAGAGTTATTAACACAACCTAAAGTTAGCCTCCGAGTATACAATAAACAGTCGCTCTATTTTGATCTACACAAAGTTACACTGAAATATCGGGAGCACTTTTTAAGCTGCTTTTATGAACCACGTGATGGAGCTCCTATGAACATCAAATACACCAAGGCCGCCCATTGCTACTAGATTGTCGTAAAACCGTCTAATAATACTATCAGTATATGCTTAATATACTGTGGTCTTCTAATGTACCTTAAAAACAAGCACTTTCCTATGGTTTTAAAAGTTACACTACATTGTATCCAATGCAATCATTTCCCCAAAAGTGCACTTTGTAACGGCCGTAGCACTTCATTTGACAACTTACCCTGTTTTCACGAATGAGGACCAGATGTTGACGATGTGTTTCATGAAGACATCTTCCTCTGGCGTGTAAGTGAGACGATTGGCGAATTTCGCAGCCTTCGGTCCCAGATGTTGTGCGAGCAACTTTCCGTCTTTGAAAAAGGGTAGGGATCCTAAGGTGTAGGCGATGTCGTCCGCATGAGCTACTCCCATCCATTTGGGCCAGAGGCTATGGGTTGGACGGTAGTTGAACAGGTATCGGTAAGTGCTGATGCCCTGTTCGGCAGCGATCTCACCGAAGAAGGCTGTCGGACAAGAGAACACCGCATCGCCGATCATCGTGCATATTGTAGAAGCCACTTGTTCCTCGGATGGTTTGTCATCAGTGTCACCGAAGTAGCCTCTCACAATTTTCTGACCGTCCCCAATATCGATGTTAAACATCTCCGACAACACGATGGAGATGAGAGTACGGTGATCACTGAACAGTAACTTGCCGAAAATGGGAACTGAATCCTTGAGCAGACGGTAGAACACAGTTCCTTCGTCGGCCACAGACCCGAGCAGAATTTGCTTCGCTTCCAAGCGTTTCCACGTGTCTACAGAGAGGACCTTACCCGGAATGAAGTCATCGTCTTCGGATGGTGGGAACATCTGCTGCACCATGTCGAGCGAATCGAGTTTTTCGAATAACCGCGGTGCGTCCACATTCCGTAGGCAGGTTGCGATAGCCTTGGCCTGTTCTTCGAGCTTTTTATGCTTGTCGTAGCAGTTCATTGCTAAAGCGGCCAGGATAATCTTTGTCTGGCCTCCGAAACCTATGCCGAGAATCATGGACAGTGGGGTGCCACTTTGCAGCACTAGTCTCTTGAAGAGACCGCGACTGTAAGGGGACAATGCGTGCAGAGCTGCCGAGATGCCTCCGGCGCTCTGACCTAACAGAGTGACCTCGTCGGGGTTACCGCCGAAGCGGTCAATGTTCCTTCTGATCCACTTGAGCACGAGGTTCTGGTCCCACAGGCCCATGTTTCCTCGGATGCCGGCCACCTTGGAATCGAGGAACCCGAAGATGCCTAGGCGGTAGTTGAACGAGACGAAGACAACGTCTGCGAGAGCCACGAAGTTCGATGGGTTGTACAAGTACAGGGAGGAGTCGCCCCACTGGAACGCACCGCCGTGTATGAACACTACGACCGGGCGCTTGCTGGGGCACGCACCGCTTATGGGAGAACACGGTGAGGCCGGCTTCCACACATTCAAGTAGAGGCAGTCCTCGGACGACATGTGAGTGTAGTCGATGGTCAAGTTCGGAAGAAACCTCAGTGGCAGTTGCCAGCACGGCTTCGGCATTCGTGTTGCATCCAGCACACCCCTCCATCGAATTTCTGGTTCTGGCCTCCTGAATCGCAGTGGGCCCAACGGAGGCACGGCGTACGGTATGCCTAAATATGCTTCGACGTTCTTGCCGCTAACGCTCAAGCACTTGCCCCTTATCAAGCCCTTTTCCGTGCGAACCACTGCATTGCAGGCTCCCTGGGCGAGTGACTGCCCACACGTGAAGCATGCCAGAACGAACGCTGCGCACAGGAACTGCAGTAATGAGCGCCTGCCAAGATCGACAGAGACGGACAAGGCGAGTTTCATAATGATTGCTGCCAACGGGAAGCCGGTACAAATTGCCACCCGGCGGCAGTGAGCGTTGGCTCACGCGAAACTGCTATGCGGGATCGAAAACGGAGTCATCCTTTTTATTCTCCCTTGGCAAGGTTGCGAAAAGCAGACGGAAAGAGAACATAAAGACATGAGGGGAGTGTTTGTGATCAAAGGCTCTTTCTCTCTCCCTCTGTTGTTCCGCCAGCAGTGAGAGAGGCTAGCAATAATAAAATGAAGAGAAGCGGTCACGTGTGGAAAGTTTTGCATGGTGGCCCCGCTAGGTGGCACGTGTCCCACAGTGGCTGGTGTACGACCGTGACCGGTCGTATAAATAACTTGGTTTATATTTCTCTGCTGTCCCACCCTTTCGTCTGGCTGCTATGGCTAGAGGAGAGGACGGGAGAGCCAGATTTGTTGCAAGTTGCCTACCATAGAGAAAGTAAAGAAATATATCCCGGTGAAAAAAAAACGAAGAGTGGCTGTTTCTCTCGGGTTTGGCATGAATAATTTATGAAGACGGTGAAACTAGCGGTCACGTAGGACAGTAGTTTGGCATGTACTGGCAGTACTTACTCCTTTTAGGTTTCGATACCGAGATATCAATGGAGGCGGAAATGGTGGTGATTCCGCAAGTATCGGTTTGTCACGAATGATGCGTGTCCAGCTTGGCCTATACGCTTCCTGGAGCGCAATGTGCTGGCAATTTCATGTTCCTTCGATAGCGGTGATCGATGCATCATGGAGCCATCTCACGAACGATGTCCATGAAGAGCGCGCGGTAAGAAGAGGAACATCGAAATGAGCAACAAAAAAGGAAACAATTCAAGAAGCAATCTTTTTACGGCAGCGCTATCATTGTCGGGTTCCTTCTTGCTGCATTTCTTCCTTTCAGGCAGGATTCCCCAGTCCAGCAGTTCGTATCCACCTTAACTGTTGCGCCCCGCCACGGTGGTCTAGTGGCTAAGGTACTCGGCTGCTGACCCGCAGGTCGCGGGTTCGAATCCCGGCTGTGGCGGCTGCATTTCCGATGGAGGCGGAAATGTTGTAGGCCCGTGTACTCAGATTTGGGTGCACGTTAAAGAACCCCAGGTGGTCAAAATTTCCGGAGCCCTCCACTACGGCGTCTCTCATAATCATATGGTGGTTTGGGACGTTAAACCCCACAAATCAATCATCAATCAATCACCTTAACTGTTGCGCGTGCAGTGTGCATCGCCTATACACGTGAGAGAAGGGCTCCGGCCCGACACGTTTGTTTGTCAGCCTCCTGCCAGGACAATAATTATTTAGTTGTCTTTCCTTAAAGTACTCGCCGTCCTGTCAGGCGGGGGGTCCTTACAGAGCCTATTTTGTCACCTTTTCCTGCATCGCATCAGCCGAGTGCCAGAAACACCGAATCACGAAGCTTCCTAGAAGCCGAAAACACTACCATGGAAGCACTGAGAAGCTACGTGCTGGTGCTTGTGATGCTTTCGTTCCTTTTGTGTCTTGTCTCCATGTGCTGCTTCATAAGTATGCATGAAGCTTGTGATGCAGAACTATACTGTCGATACCATCAATAGTGCAGTGACTATCGAAGTATTGATGGCAACAAAAACTGTCAATAGTGCTATTGGTAATAAGTTTGATAACGTTCCTGATAGCATACGTCAATCGCACATACTCAGTGCAGCATAAACGTGGTTCCCCAAATGAAGCAGGAAGAGCAGACAGAGGGCCAAGAATGTTGGCATGCTTGCGATGATTCCTCAGATATTATGCTTGACACAAGGCGATGAAGTTGAATGATTGAGCTGTGCAGGCGACGAGGTCGCCATATTAGACGCTACTGCACATGACTTCAAATTTGTATTGCATTTTGTAATTTCAAAACGAAAACATCAAGAAATGGGTTCATTAATTAAAAGTTGTAAGTGGTAAATTTTAATACGCTTTTCGAAGGACATATTTTTTTTTATTTTCACTCTCAAAATCATTTTTATTTTGCGAGAAGTTGCTGGTTAATTAAGTACATTGAGTATTCGTGAAGGTAGGCGATTGCAAACACTCTTTGGCAATATTGCTTGCTATAGCAACATCATAACTATATTAACAGCTCTATTGATAGTATTACTCGGTACTAATACTACCAATGGCATTATCGATAGCACTATCAGTAGCCCTTTCAGTAATACTATAGATAGTTTATTGATGGTAATACTATCATTAGCTTTAATCGCACTGTCGATAGTTAACGAATACTATCTATGCTAACGATAACTTGCCGATAGTTTTGCATCACAAGCTAGTGGGCAAGGCGATAGTATACCCCCCTTCACTCTAGCGCAAGCGAGGAGAGTTCAGTGTAGCAGCTGACCTCTCAACGAGAAAACATTACAATAATCAGCGACAAGAACTTTTAAAAATAACACCCGTTGAAAGTTTACAACGTCTAAACATTACATCACGCAATCCAGAGTAAGCCTGCCACACTTCACGCGTGACTCCAGCGTTCTTAATCTATTAAGCCTAAGTAGTTCATTTCAGTTTGAGTAAACTTGTCCTATTTTGGTAGGGCAATAGTATTGTGAAGTAAAATATTTAAAAAGTAATTTATTACAATCCTGTAATTGATCAGCTCTTGTTCTGTGAGTATAACCGACACCGTCATGGATGGCTAAGAAGTGAAGGCAGGTCACAAATGCGCTACAATCAGCTTCCAAGAGATATCATATGCAAAGCCCTCGAACGTGCCAACATGCGATGCTGAAGAAATAAGTCGCACAAAAGCTCATATCAAACACATTAGCGTATGAAGTAAGCATGCAGAAGACCTGGTCGGCTCCCGGCTGCGGCACCTGCATTTCCGATGGAGGCGGCAATGTTGTAGGCCTGTGTGCTCAGATTTGGGTGCACGTTAAAGCACTCCAGGTGGTCGAAATGGCCGGAGCCCTCCACTACGGCATCTCTCATCATCATATGGTGGTTTTGGGACGTTAAACCCCACAAATAAGTCAAACCTAGTGGGCTATTCTTAGAGCGTAGGACCTTTGGCAGGCTAGGTCGCAACACCAGTAAAAATATCCATTGGACAAATAACGTTTATTCACTTCGAGACAATAATAATTCAAGCCATACTGAAGTGGCAAGCCAGATCACATATCAAAGCGAGAACTTCCATACGAGCTTTCGTGGCACAGGGCCCTAAAGCCATCGATACAGATATCTAGGAAAACTCTAACTCTCTGCGTGGGGGTTGTGTGTGCGTGTAAAGTGTGTGGTTCAGAGTCAACATTTTTCTATACATATCTTCCTATACACAGCCGCCTGAATACAGCCATGCCACCTTTTTCATTCTTGTTCTCGCTATTTGTAACTGCCATAAGTTTTAACCTCTAAATATTGAACGCAGTTCCGTAATGATCATTTTAGACTTTTCGGCAGCCGTGTTATGTTATTCATTGTACATGATCAGTCATCGCTGACTTGGAAGCCCTAGTCATGGTGCTCTTCAGCATCTCTTGAATCTTGCGCCTCTAAAACCATCGTAACACCTTGTTTTACTGCAAGTAACACCTATCTCAAGACAATCAAGACATAGGTAACACGCAAATCTTTGCGTTGGCAATATTAGGTGGCAGAGTCATGAAAGGCACGCGGTAATGTGAGCATTTCTCAAAAGTGAAGAAAAACATACAAACGAAACGTCGCCATAGCCACTCAAACACAACGTGCCTGCCGAGCGGACATGGCCTTCAAATATTATGCAGTGCCCCCGGCGGCACGCAGCGAGCTTGGAAAAATCTAGGGGGGGGCGTGCTGGGGCTCACGTCCAGGAACGCACAGGTTCCACGGGGGTGCCGTACTGAGGCTGTTAGAAAGAATGCATTCAATTACTAGTCCTGTTGCAGGGCCCAAACTGCCTGGGCAGCCTAGAATACTCTTCTATAGCCAATTGCGCGAAATGGAATGTTTGTTGCAGCTATGCCCGCGCCGCTCTCGTGTATCGGCTTGATTAAGCGCGCCTTGTTTTCTTTTATTCCCTTTTCCTCGAATCTTCTTTAGGCTCTTCCTCCGCGGCGTCTTTTTCACCAATGTTTCGACTCGGCAGGCAGCACTGGAATCCTCCCTTTTTTCCGCAATTTGTGCGCCATCAAGGAAGCATCCAACATCATTTCGTGCAGTAGACGCCAGCGCTCGTGTGCACGCAACAGATTATCCGCGTGTAAGAGCGACCTTGATGGCCGAGCTGATTTATAGGTGTAGTGATGAACGCAATATAGGCGCGATTATGTAAACATAGATAATAACGTGAATTCCCATATAGTCTTGCTATCAGTGTTGCTATGCTTACGATGTCGGAGGAAAAAATAAGGCACAGACCCCAAGCATATTTCAACAGGCATGAATGAAACCTTACGCTGGATGTTAGTAAGAGCCAGTGACCATTTCTGCAGCTCTCATTATCTCGAAAGATGATGCATCGCCATTTTTTTCAAACGATAGTTTTATTACTTTAAGCCATCTGTTTGACAGCTTCAAAAAATTCTACCTTTGTGAGGATGTACTACAAAGTGCAAAAAACTATTGTGTCTTGCACAAAAAACTCGCCCAGCACTCATTCTTCTGGAATACTGTTGATGCACGTGATTTGCATAGCGTGATGTCTGGCGTGAGACGAACGTGGCTTGGGCAAAGCTTGTTGACTCTGACTTGGGCAAGGCTTCTTGACTGTCTCATCACAAACCGAGTTGCGAGGCTACGCCTTTGCTTCCTCCCGTGACTTTGACCGATTATGTCACAGTACTCCGTGCTGTATAGGCTTAATGTCTTCTCCCTCACTTCAAGGGGCGAAGATCCTTATGGCGTGGCTTGTGCGTCCCCGAATTGCGTAACCTGCGGCACATACCCACCCTCGGGAACATATCTGCATGTCCATATGTTACGAAAGACAGCTAAAACAGTGTGCTGGGGTTAGCGTGTAAACAATGCCGACCTTCCAACGAGGAAGGAATGGCAAGTTGTGAGTGTCATGCCTCGGGGAACTGTCGCGGCCGATGTAGCACTCACTTATCAGGTGTATCAAATCAAAAGAGGTGCAGGTTAAGGCGACGGACTCCACACTTCTTCCTCTCGTCTCATGAATGAATCGGCGACTAACATACATTGATAAACTCACTAAATATTGTACAGGGTGCTGGTTCACTTCTTTCTGGATGATCCTAGCCTGTGACCTGATATCGAACGATAAGCTGTGCGATGATAGCAATGCTAAATCAAGAACTTTCTTTCGGCTGTGGATTTTGAGAAGAGGTGAGTATACACAAGAAGTCTGGTGAAGAACAAAACATGGGTGCGGTTCATTCAGCAGGAACCATTAGTCAGTGGTGTATACCATCCGCTGCCCTGCCGTACCATGCCATGTGCGAGCGTCCCGCTGTGGTGCAGTTGCATTGGCTTCGCCTGTTTTCGGTGTCTCTGTTTAACAAGACAAAAACAGACAACATTTCATTTTTTCAAATTTCTTTTCAATGCTAACTTGCCCATATGAACTTTTATCTAATCTCTCAGATTTTTGGCGGAAAATATTTATGAATGGCAATATGACACGCCTTCGCAAACTCGACAATAGATCGCATAATCGAAATCCAGTGGTGGTGGCGGCAGCCGCGTTTTAGTTAGAACTAAATTTGAATTAGGCCGTGTTGGAAGCGTTAACGCCAACCATGATTGCTGAACACAAAATTGTCCCTGTGTATTGCAATACTCTCAAATAATTTTGTTTTGTTTTGTCATATGAATATCCACATATATTATATTGACTGCCATCATATACAATCTTCTAACCACCACAATCATAATAAAAGATCTCACCCGACTTCAAGTTACTTTTTCGCTATACGACTCTGGATAACAGGCTATATTCTGGGCATGTATAAAGCTTGAGTGGTACAAATATGAACATATTTGTACCACTTGACGGGTAAAAAAAAAATCAGGATCTGTATATATAATCAGAATGATCGTGGAATTGGCGTGTAGCACCTATTGAAAGATTACTCAATTTAAATCTGTGATGTTTTCGCGATTTAGCTAGATCTGTGATATTTTCGTGGCTCGCATATTTAGCGTATATCAATGCTTCATCAGGAACACGCGATCCATTATGGTACGTTCGTGCCGCACTTCATCGGACACGACGCTCGCCATCAAAGAGAGCGCAGCCGTGGACACCAGAGCAGTTTTTTTGCCACCGGTGCTGTGATTCACTTGTGTCTTTCGGACGCATATCGGCCAAATGAAATGAAGGATTATCGCGGTGACAATATATTCAGCTTCCTCCTCGTCGTCGCCATTTTCTTTTCTTTTCCCTTCTTTGAACACAAACATACCCTCCTCCTCCCTAAACTTTTTTTTGAGATAGAGAGAGGGGCAACAAGGCTCACACATACATGCTGATACATGACGTAAGAGGGGGATAAAGAAACCAATGGGGTAAAGGTGTCCGGAGCCCTTTGCTTTGACGTCTTTCATAACTCGATTTGGTTTGAGACGCTGACACCAATAAATAATACTATTGAAGGCCGCTGATGCTCTGAGGAAGACAGGTCCTATTGTCACCACAGGCTGAAGTGCCATTTCTGGTTGTTTGATTGTTCTTGCTGAAAGAAAGAGATAAGATTAGAACTACGGCGCAGCGTGTGACCAGTGTTGTAATCACATAGCAGCTTTCACTGTAAAACACTTGTTTATTTATGGCTCTGAGGAGAGAAAGTTGAGAAGAGAGGAGAAAGCAGGCATGGGATGGGTAGCTGGGTCAACATAAATGACATCAGATAGATACTCTTTCCTTGGAAAAGGCAAAGTGCACCTGAAGATCGGTAGACAAACTAGGAAAATAATTCAGAAGATCTATGCACTGGAAGATTCTATGTATCAATAAAATACTATATGTCACACAGTTTTTGAAGCTGCAAGCACCGCCACTCTCCCGTCTATGTCAGCGACCCCTACAGTGCAACTTAAACATGAACACAAGCTAACTGTCATTCAGCCAAATTGGATTCATCAATGCAAGCATTTGTTCAAAGTACTAAGCCTTGAACGTTAGTCTGTCGTGTGGAGGAAAGAAAACAACTGACCACACACAAACACGGAAACATAAAGGGATGAAGTGAATGGCTAACACAGCGTAAGTCCGGCAAAAGAAATGAATAATATCAGAGCAGAGCATAGGAACGTGGATGGACTCGTTGCAATTTGGCCCGTGTTGTCGACTTCATTAGTTTCCGTTTCTTCTTTGGTCGAGTCCTCTTCTTGGAAGAAGGAGCGGTCTTCTGGCTTCGACCTGCATTGAAACAATGTTTCGTTTTTTTATTGTATACGTAACAGTGCAGGAGGGCAACGACATCGCAATAAATCACGCTAACTTTGCTTAATATGCTGCGAAATTCACTGCGTAAAAAATGGACGGGGCGTGCCACGTTATTTAAGGCGTATTTGACTTTGTGTAGAGTAATGGCCATAGCCACATTCAATAAACACGCACGAAACATGTCGGTTGGAACCAACGACATTTGTCAGTGTATTTAGATGGTGTTCATATTTCTATTCGAGCAATACATTTTTTCCGGAGTCATTTCACGCTGTGAAGCTTTTTATGTCGAAAAGTCATTACTGTAAATTATTTGCATACTTGTGTTTAGTTTCTTTATTGTCGGGCTCACAGAAATGAAATGGTGCATGATTGCACAATTTCTGCTGTGTGTGTGCGTGCGTGCGTGCGTGCGTGTGTGTGTGTGTGTGTGTGTGTGTGTCTGTGTGTGTGTGTGTGTGCGTGCGTGTGTGTGGGCAAACATGCATGCGTGCTTGTGCGTTTTCTTTGCACCAGGTGTTTGAGACAAGATTGACTAGGTCATCTTTAAACCAGTAAAGCGTTACTTAAACAAAGATTTTTTTATAACCTCACTAAGCAGTAAGGCGAGACGTAGAATAGCGTTCTTCAAGCAGTAATTAGTTGCGCCATTCGTGTTTCACCAGATGAAAAGCTGTTAGGGTCCATTTGAACAAAATCACCACAACCAACAATACAATCTTAGGGTACAGCTCATACTTTTTTAAGAGAAAGTTTGAACAGAACAGCAATTGTTTAAAGCGTAAAGCTTTGGAACATTCCAGATGCTTTGAGAACATTTAAAGAAAGCACAAAACACAAAAAGTTTTGTATTGAACAGAACTGATCTATTGAGGGAACATGTGTTTGTACGGAAGTACTGGGTCCAAGTGGGCGAGTGTGCATAATTTTGAAAATTAGGCGGAGCGCATCGCTGCCTGATTCCTACACACCACACACGCAAGTTTTCCCAACCACACCCTGCATAGAACGCTATTTTTTAAGAAGGCATATTACGAACTCAACAGCAATTTCTCATAAGGGTTCATTCATGGGCCCATTTGTGTATTTTTGCTGATCTCAACTACTTTACGATGAAAGCTATTGCATTAGAAAAAAAAAAGCAGCCGACGTAACCCATGGACAATGACTTCTCTTCAGATACACCGAATAATATCAATAACAAAACAGTGGTCACAACGTTAAAGGTGCTGTTGGGACAAATTTTATGTGAGGAACTCACTGAAAAGCCATTGACTGCTTGAGACGCCCGAGATGGCCTTTGCGGACAAGCAAATAAAATAGCGAAGCTGTTTGCTCTTTCCAACGTGCAAGAAACGTGAAGTAGGGGTCCTTGAAATAAAGAAAAGAATATGTCAGAACTAAACCTTGTAGGGAGTACGTACGTGGTATGGACGAAATCGTACGGATCGCTAGTGTGCATTACGGTAACTGGCAAAGTTATATATATATATATATATATATATATATATATATATATATATATATATATATATATATATATATATATATATATTGTGAGCGCTGATTGTGTTGCTCATCATTTTCACTTTCACCTGCGCATACAAAGCACCGTGATCATCATCATCGTAGCGGCTCGCTGCTTGTTCGGTTGCTGGCTCGCGCGTCTGGGTTGACAATAAAACGGTCGCTCCTTCGTACCTGACGTCGTCTCACAAGTGGTGGAGCGTGCTGTGATTCCCAAGTCCTCGTGCACTACCGGTCACCCCTGGAGCTCCGATCAGGTCGACGGCTGTGCTTGCCAACAGTGATGGCGCAAAACGACCCACCCCCTACCGCCTTCTTCGCACCACCCGCTCAGCCTGCTGGGCCTCACCACACCGTGAGTACCTCGCAACGAGACCCTCCAGTGTTTTCTGGCCTTCGCGGTGAGGACGTAGAAGAATGGCTGGACAGTTACGACCGTACCAGTGCTTGCAATTACTGGGATGAGGCACATAAGCTGCGCTATGTACCCTTTTATCTGAAGGAGGTTGCTAAGACGTGGTATCATAACCACGAACGCGACTTTCCTGATTGGTCAGCATTCACGGTGCAGCTGCGTCAAATATTCGGCACTTCTACAGGACGCTCTGAGGTAGCTAAACAGAAGCTCGCTACCCGCATCCAGGGGCCTGACGAATCGTACACATCGTACATTGAAGACGTTCTGGCCCTCTGCCGCCGCGCCCAAAAGGACATGCCGGAGGCCGATCGTATTCGGCAAGTAATGAAAGGCATCAACTCCGTCGCCTTTAATGCTCTTGTCATGCAGAGCCCGACAACAGTTCAGGACATTATTACCACCTGCCAGCGCCTGGACGCACTTTACTCAATGCGCCTTCCACACGCCTCCTATGACACTCGTCTTACTGGCGAGCATGAGCTGCGAGCTCTAATTCGCACCATAGTGAGAGAGGAACTTCACAGCCTTGTTCCTGCCAGCGCACCGACTTCACCTGCCCGCTCACCCCCTCCTAACCTGCGGGAAATTATAAAGGACGAATTGGCGTCGATGACGAGCGTCGCACGTGCCCCGCCTCCTGTGCCCTTACATGTGCCTACGTATGCCGAAGTCGTGTCACGGCCTCCTCCACCTACTCCACCTGTAACTACGGACGTCGTATACGACCATTTGGCCGCGATGGCAGCCAAGGCACCACCACAACCACACTTCCCTGCCTGGCGCCCTACGCGCCCCGTCTGTTACTACTGTGGCATAAGAGGACATATCTCCCGCTTTTGCCGTCGGCGCCAGCAAGATGAACGACGAGGTTATTCTTCGTACGAGAGTGACCGGGCTGCGAGGTCTGACCCCTACGTTCCAGGAACCTACATTCCCTCGTCACGACGTTCGCCTTCGCCTCCTTTGTCCCACGGTGAACCTCGTTCTTCCCGCTCACCCCGCCGTCGTTCACCATCGCCCTTCCGCCGTACTACTTCGCCTTTACGTTCTGCCATGATGCCCCTCGACAGCCACTCGGAAAACTAGCAGCTGCAGTTTTTGGAGGAGAAACTGCCTGTCGTCGAAGTGTCCCAATTCCTCCTGCGCGCCCTGCAAATTTACTAACTGTTTGTGTAGAAGGCATTTCGGTTGACGCACTCGTGGACACTGGAGCAGCCATTTCGGTCATTGATCGCGAACTATGTCATCGTCTACGAAAAGTGCAAACTCCATATGTTGGTCCGGTGTTATGTGGTGCTAATGAAAATAGAATTTACCCTATTGGACAATGCACTGTTCGTGTTCTGATCGACGGAATTCGTCACCATATACAATTGGCTGTGCTTTCTTCATGTGCTCATCCGATTATATTGGGCTGGGACTTCCTGTCAGCCGCTTCCGCTGTCATTTCGTGTGGTCCGCCCGTTATTCGCATTACGGACACTGAAAATTCTAGTGCTTACGATTTTTCGTCGCCTCACCTTGTTGCAGCTGCAGACTTTGTACTGCCCCCGGCCCAAGAACGTATCCTCACCATTAGATCCAGCGATACCATTGACGGTGACGCAGTGGTTGTCCCCGATCAGCGCTGCATTTTCCGAGGAATCGCCATCGCATGTTGTCTAGTGCGGTTTTCGCGTGGTCATGCCAGTCTCACCGCCTACAACACGACAACAGAGCCACAACTACTGCCAGAGGGGTCCACTGTTGCCAGCCTTATCGACATAGCACCGGTATGTGTCGTCACTGTATCGTCTCCGCCGTCAGTCGCTAAGTGTACGCCACCAGGAGGCTCATCTAATGCGCTTAAAGCCACTTTGAGTCCATATCTCACTCCAACGCAAACTAATGACTTAATGGCCCTTTTAACAAAACACAAGACTTGTTTTGACGTTTGTTCGGATGGCTTAGGTCAAACTACGGTGACCTCTCATCACATCGCCACAGACGGTTCTCGTATTATCCGCCGTCGCCCTTACCGCGTGTCGTCTTCAGAACGCAAGGTCATCGAGGAACAAGTCAATGACATGCTCGCACGCAACGTTATCAGACCTTCCACAAGCCCTTGGTCTTCTCCTGTTGTCCTAGTTAAGAAAAGGGACGGATCAGTGCGATTTTGCGTTGATTACAGGGCACTAAACAAAATTACGCGCAAGGATGTATATCCTATGCCTCGAATTGACGATGCACTTGACACCTTACAGGGTGCAGAATATTTCTCAAGTCTCGACCTACGATCTGGGTATTGGCAGATCCCGATGCATGAGTCTGATAAAGAGAAGACAGCGTTTGCTACTCCTGATGGTCTCTTCGAATTCAATGTGATGCCTTTTGGGCTCTGCAATGCCCCAGCCACATTTGAGCGGATGATCGATACGGTGCTGCGTGGCCTAAAATGGAAGACCTGTCTTTGTTACCTGGATGACATCGTCATCTTTTCATCCAGCTTCTCGCAACACCTAGAACGTCTAGACGAGGTACTCACATGTCTAGCCAAAGCCGGTCTCCAGCTAAATACCAAGAAGTGTCGGTTTGCGAGCCGCAGCATCAAAGTGTTAGGCCACGTTGTCAGCAAGCTTGGCATCGAACCTGATCCCGACAAAGTGGCCGCTGTGCTGCACTTTCCTAAGCCCACCACGCTCAAAGACCTTCGCAGCTTCCTCGGCTTAGCCTCTTACTTCCGCCGTTTTGTCCGTGATTTTGCCACTATCGCGGCTCCTCTTCACAAACTCCTGACCACAAGTGCATCATTTCTTTGGACAGATGACTGTGAAGCTGCTTTCCAGACCCTGAAGCGATGCCTCACGTCAGGGCCAGTTCTTCGCCATTTTGATCCCACAGCCCCTACTATATTACACACTGACGCAAGTGGGCACGGAATCGGCGCTGTTCTGCTGCAGCGTGACCAGGCTTCACAAGAGCAAGTCGTGGCTTACGCGAGCCGTACTCTCTCCCCAGCGGAACGCAATTACAGCATCACTGAACAGGAATGTCTCGCTATCGTATGGTCCGTGCAAAAATTTCGCCCCTATTTGTATGGCCGCCGCTTCACGATCGTCACGGATCATCATGCGCTCTGTTGGTTGTCATCATTAAAAAACTTGTCAGGACGCCTCGGTCGTTGGGTGCTCCGACTGCAGGAGTATGACTACAGTGTCACATACCGGTCGGGCCGCAAACACCAAGATGCCGACGCTTTGTCACGCTGTCCGCTGTTGCAAAATCATGACGCATCTACCTGCTGCGCAGCACCTCCCAGCCAAGAGACCACGCAGATGACCAGTCTTAGTCCCATCGAGCCCACTGCACCGGATGACTTCCTTCAATCCGCAGACCTCACCTCGCTCCAACGTGCAGACACATACTGCCGTACAATCATCGATCGGCTCACCGGCTCATCTCGTGCTCCCAACAGCCGCTTGCGACGACAACTCACGCGTTTCAAACTTCATGACGGAACGCTACTTCGACAAACTTACCATCCTCTCGGTAGCCGATGGGTCCCGGTCATACCTCGCTCACTTCGACTCCAAGTCTTAGAAGCCTTTCATGACGACCCGACGGCTGGCCACTTGGGTTTTCATAAAACCTACGATCGCATTAAGACTCGCTGCTTCTGGCCTGGCCTCTCCACTAGTGTTTCCAGGTACGTCACTTCCTGTTCATCATGTCAGCACCGAAAACGTTCGACATCTCTTCCCGCCGGCCCTCTACAGCCTCTCCCGTGCCCATCCGCTCCCTTCGAGTTCGTCGGCATAGACTTATACGGACCCCTTCCGCTTACCGCCGCCGGTCACCGCTGGATTGTTACTGCCGTAGACCATCTTACTCGCTACGCTGAGACGGCAGCTCTTCCTACTGGAGCTGCCAGCGAAGTAGCCGACTTTGTTCTGCGTGCCATTATCCTGCGCCACGGCGCCCCTCGTGTTCTCCTGAGTGACCGTGGCAAGACATTTCTTTCTCGTGTGCTCGCTGAAGTTTTACAGGCCTCTGACACAATCCATAAGACCACCTCGGCATATCATCCGCAAACCAATGGTCTTACTGAGCGTTTTCATAGAACTTTGTCAGACATGATCTCTATGTATGTCCAACCCGATCACAAGAACTGGGACACAATACTACCTTTCGTCACGTTTGCCTATAACACTGCCATACAACGCACTACAAGTTACAGCCCGTTTTTTCTTGTGTATGGCCGTGCACCATCTTTTGTTCTAGACACCAGCTTTTTGTCCACGCCTTCTGTCCCATCTGCGTCCCTTCCGGAAGAATTCGCTGCCCGTGTTAACCACTGCCGCACAATCGCCCGCGCCAACACCTCTACCATTCAGGCCCAGCGAAAAGTTCGTTGTGATGCGACACGTCGAGTTGTGTCATTCTACCCAGGCGACGAAGTGCTCCTCTGGACACCTGTTCGCACACCCGGCCTCTGTGAAAAATTCATTCACAGATACCTGGGTCCTTACACCGTGCTTGAACGAACATCGGCCGTAAATTATCGCGTCGCGCCGGTTACTTCGGCTTCTGATCGCCGTCGTCGCGGGACCGAGATCGTCCATGTGTCTCGCCTGAAACCTTATATCCAGCGCTCATACACTTACTAAATGAACGTCTTGCAGACCGCTTTCGTGTAGGGGGGAAATAGTGTGAGCGCTGATTGTGTTGCTCATCATTTTCACTTTCACCTGCGCATACAAAGCACCGTGATCATCATCATCGTAGCGGCTCGCTGCTTGTTCGGTTGCTGGCTCGCGCGTCTGGGTTGACAATAAAACGGTCGCTCCTTCGTACCTGACGTCGTCTCACAATATATATATATATATATATATATATATATATATATATATATATGAGGCGCTTTTGGCAAGCTCTATTTATGGCTGCAGGAAAACACTCGGACCGTATACCTTTGTGATATGTTCGAGGCTGTTGCCATGACAGGGTCATATATTTCTGGGCAAGGGTCACAATATACATTGCCGTGTCCTCTGCAAGTGCGGTAATCTTTATTATAAAAAGACAGACATAGTATAGTGTCCTTAGATCGGTAACAAGAAGGCACGCAGAAAAGGAACTGCCTTTGCGTGACGTCCGCATATAATCTGTTATTAGGTTTAAGTGGCAAAGCTATTGTTTTCTACTTTGGCATTTCCTGAAGGACTTAAAATACCCATGCAATCAAATCTTCTCGCCCACCACCTCTCATGTCTGCTGCTATAGCTCGATCGTTAATTTTACCTTTGTAATGTTTTTCACCGACGCAATGTTAGTACCTGGAGTGTAACCCTAATCGCTACAGTGCTAGGTTGCTGGCCCAATATACATGAATTCAAACCGGCCGTGCTGTTGCATTTAAAGGAGACAAAATGTGAAAAATCCTTCTCTTGTGCGATTTAAGTACACGTTGAAAAACCCCGGGTGGTCGAATTTATCTAGAGCCTTACTTTATGACGTCTCTAGTAGTCTCACTTATTAAGTTAAATTCCATAAACGTTAATAAGTTAAATTCCATAAATAGGTTAAATTCCATAAACCGACCGACCGATCGACCGACCACCCATCCAGCCAGCCAGCCAGTAAGCCAGCCAGCCAGCTAGAAGTATCATTTGTGGGCATGAACCCTGCCGCATTTCTTCAAGAGATGATATAGTGAGGGCGCAATAATGTTATCTTTTGTGACACCGTATTCATGTATTGATGATTTAGATGACATATCATTTACTCTTAAGCGCCCCCAATTCGAAGTCTTGATGTGTTATTTGACATCCTATGGCAGTATCACCTTATTCTTTTTTCGCTTTCTTGAACTCTTCAATAATGAGACAAGTTGTGCGCAAATAACAACGAATAACAATGAACGTGCCAAATTCAAACATCATTATTAGGCAAGCTGTTGTTGGAGTTTCTAAATCAATTAGTCACACGGTGGTTCTTGCATTACACCCCCTTCAAAATGCAGTCGCTGTAGCTGGGGATAGAACTCGTGCTATCGAACTTAGCAGCGCGACACCTCGATTGCTGAGCTTCCTTAGCGGAACCCCACCTACTCTCTCTATCTGCCTGTCTTCTTACCCTAGTGAGTTGAGTGCAATGGGAGCTCTTGCTACTTTATTGTAGATATATATTGGTAATTGAATAAGGCCGTATAGAAAAAGAGTTCACATTTTCCAATTCCTCTTTTTTTCTTTTTCCCTCCTCGCCTTTTTATCTCCCTTACCTCTTCCCCGGTGTAGGGTAGCAAACCAGAATTGTTCTTCTGGTTAACATCCCTGTCTTTCACTTGACCTTTTTTTTATATCCCTCTCTTGGCATTTTCAGTGTGCACTTGTCATTTTGCTCCACAGGCTACCTGTTTCTAAGCAAGGTAAGCTGGCAACTAGATTAAAGTTATAGTGAGTGACCCAGAGAGGCATCAGTACCGAGTTGCATACCCTTCTAGAAATTGTTTTTTGCAACTAAGCGGCTATATTTCTGAGAAATCCGCATGGACTTCCTTGTAGCTTCGTGCATTAGACGGTTGGTTGCCTGTTTTCCTTTCTTAACTATTACGCCACCACGTGGCATTCCAAGAATCAGTTCTCATCAGTTGTTTCTGCCTCAGTCATTGAACCTATTTGTGTTACTCTTTTATCTGCAGTGTTATCGGAAGCTTCATAACAGTAAATCCAAAGATACTGTCGTTCCCCATACAATACCACAGTGCACAGGGGCACATAATATGGTGCCGCTGTTTACTGTAGTATTAGTTTGCCATCGTTTACTTACTCCCTAAGAAGCACCGGTTTCCACACTTCGCATATCTTCCTCTTCGGCTCCACAATGGTTGTGTAGTTGTTCGGCTCCAGGTAGATCACCCAAGGCTCTTCGAACGTGTACCGTGGCCATTTACCACCCGTCAGAGGCACCTTCGGTTTCCTGCGATAAGAAAAAAAAAGGACACAGAAGAACCACTTCAAAAACGAACAACGCCGCACTACGTTCTGTCTCGAGTATTGCATAAACATGCGCTGCATGAAACACTGGTCGAATTGTGTTGCGACAGCGCTGCTGCCATTGTATACGTATTACGGAACATCAAAATTTCATTAGACGCGCTGAGCCCCAATTAAGGGAACAAATTTTTTCCATATTCTGCCACTTGTGGGACACCAAGACGCATAGCTGCGTATCAATGTTGAAAACATCCTGGGGTGGAGTTCTCTTTGGCATCAGGCTATTTATATGAGCAACGTCTAAAACTCTTTAGGTGTAGGTATCAAGACAGTCTGGTGCGAGGCTTGGTTTTCTTTGGACGCGATATCAATGATATTGTCTCTCCGCAGTGCTTATCTGCTAAGTGCATAGTCGACGTATGTGCAGCTGCCCAAGATCCTCATCCTATTTTTGTTTTAGGTGTCAAGATGTCTACTTCACCTCGTCTACTATTTTTCACTGCCAGATGCGCACCAACTTCGGCACGTAAACAACTTCGTTTCGTGGCGCAGCCGTGGAATGCTCTACAAACGTTACCTTAGAGGAAGCTATGACGTCCCTGTTTATAAGGTGTTTTCATTGTGGCTCAGAGAGCACGAGGCCACTGTTTGTTCACTACGTGTATTTGTGTACATATTGTTTTAATAAATAAAGCATAAATTGAAGAATCGTCACCATGTCTTCTCGATGGTTGCCGCTGTCTTCTTGGTTGTTTGAATAAAAATAAAGTGTAAAAAAAGAAAATATACAATTTTTATTATATTTTTTTGCTTTAACACAGCATGCTATTGCTATAATTTTTTTGCTTTCACACAGCATGCTATTGTTTTTCACACACAATTGTGATGTACTTTCACTGAGTTCACTCAGTAGTCATCACATGTGTCCATGTGTAAGGGCATGCAATTTTTGTCCCTCTGACTTGAAAAGAAACTTCGATCGTGGACTTGACAGCGTATCGCCCTATTGCCCTCGCAAGCTGCCTCGGAAAAGTGATGGAAAGAATGGTTCTATTTCGTCTCGAGTGGTACTTGGAACGATACAGCAAATACCCTTCTTGCATGGCAGGCTTTCGTCGGGGCCGCTCCTCCATTGACTGTGTCCTTGATTTATCGGCATTTGTTCAACAAGAAAAAAGTCGCAAGCGCATATCAGTGGCACTCTTTCTTGACGTGAAGGGTGCATATGATAATGTAGCTCACGATGCCATCCTCACTTCTCTCGCAGCAATGGGCATTGGTGGACGAATGTTTCAATGGATAAAAGATTATATAACTGGCAGGGGTTTCTTTGTACAAACATATGAGGGTACAACTGCCCAACATTACACCTACTGCGGAGTACCTCAGGGAGGTGTTTTAAGCCCCACATTGTTCAATGTGGCCCTCATTGGTCTGGTGAAGGTTCTGCCAAAGTCGGTGTGCCTATCCATATTCGCCGATGATATTTGCCTCTGGAGTGCTGCAGTTACTCGCCCTCAGGTGCGTGCACGAATACAGCGGGCAGCAACCCTCACAACAGCCTACCTTCAGAAACAAGGCCTAAATATATCAACTGTGAAGTGCGCGTTGATGGCGTTTACACGCAAACCAATGACGCCATACCCTGTTTACATCAATGGGCAGAGTGTCAAATATGCACGGACGCATCGTTTCCTGGGCATAATAATCGACAGAAGTCTTTCGTGGAGCCCACATTGTGCGTACTTGAAGAAGAGACTGCTATCTATTGTGCATATCATGAAATTCTTGTGCGGTAAAGCATGGGGAACTTCTGTGGCCTCCATGCTACAGCTGTACAGGGCCCTATTTCTGGGTCTATTGCGCTACAGCTTGCCGGTACTGACTAACACTTGCAAATCGAATACTCATTCATTGGAGAGTTTGCAGGGTCAGGCACTGCGTATCTGCCTAGGACTGCCCCGATGCGCTTCTACTTATGCCACAATCATGCTTGCCAAAGACCATCCGGTCAGGACATATATAGTTGTGGATTGCCTCAGAGCGCACATTCGACATACTAGCCGTGTCCCCGACCACCACTTGGCCCTTCTACCTTCCGGAAGACCACGTGCTACGTTTTCAGACGTCATAGCCAAGCACCTAAACAGCATTCCATCAGGATATACGCCAGCTGCGAGAACGGCATGCCCTTTGTGGTGCCTCGACCAGCCGCAAGTACGTCTAGAAATTCCGGGAATCAAAAAGAAAAGCAGTCACTCCAGAGTAGCATTGAAGCAAGCAACACTGCTATTATTACATGAGTTGTACTTAGACCGAACGCAGATATACACTGATGGGTCCGTCTCATCCAGCAGCTCATCAGGTGCCGCTGTAATTCCGGCTGCAGAAATGACAATCAAGTTTAAGTTGTCGCATATGACTACATCTACGGCATCAGAGCTTGCTGCTATAAGGGCTGCTTTACAATATCTCGTTCAAGAACGTCCAGGAAAATGGGTCATATTCTGTGATTCGAAGGCAGCGCTTCAGAGTTTGCAGTCTGCCATGCGTAGGAGGAGCCATGACCAACTGGTACAAGAAATAAGACATTGCCATCATGAAGCTCTAGCACGAGGGCATGATATTATATATCAATGGCTGCCTGGACATATCGGTATTACCGGAAATCAATTAGCCGATGATGCAGCCCGCTCAGCCCATGAAGAAACCCGTGTAGTCCCGATTCCTCTATCAAGGAATGATGCAGCAAGACAACTTTACCTGCTGGCTCGAGATCTCACACGCACGTTCTGGTCGTCTACCAGCTTCCAAGGGTGTCAATTTTATGAACTGGATCCTTCGCTCAAGCTAAAGCTACCATCACAACTTTCCCGCTCCGATGCGACACTGTTATGCCGCCTTTGGTTGGGTGTTGCATTCACAAAGGTGTACTCCTTTCGCATTGGTATGGCAGACACTCCTACATGCGACTACTGCGGAGATGAAGAGACCATCGAACACGTCCTGTGCAGCTGCGCTTGCTACGACACCCAGCGATGCCAGCTACGGATGGTTTTGAATCGACTTGACCCCGGACCATTTTGTGTGCAGAAGATACTAGGACCTTGGGCATCTGCCTCAGTTGCGCAGAAAGCAACTAAAGCACTGCTACTTTACCTTAAGTCAACAAACCTGAGCGACCGCCTGTAAACTGTGTGTGCTCCCCGAGTGTGCTCGTGATTGTGTGTACCTTCTCATCTTTCTGCAACCTCTTTTCTCCCCTTTATCCCTTCCCCAGTGCAGGGTAGCAAACCGGATGTGCGTCTGGTTAACCTCCCTGCCTTTCCTTGTATCTTTATCTCTCTCTCTCTCTCGATCGTGGTTGACTTCTGACATAAAACTGCATACCGCTCTAGGGTTGTTTGGCATAGTATCGCAATGTTTCGAAATTCAGAATAATACATAAAATACTGCTCTCCCCACTTCTCAGTGTTCGCGCGTGCAGCAGAATCTGTATTTGTGTATTTATAAGTCGGTAATTGCTCCAAAACTTGAGTGAAGAAATCCTAACACATCACAATAAACAAGCTACATAAACGTCCTAAAGCCTGAATAAGCGAGTGAGCCAACGCAGTGGCGTAATGGTAGGTCAGTGATCGCAGAGCCACACCTTGGTTTCAGCGGTATAGTAGTAAAACTGTATGAAGGCGCAGAGCATCGTCGAGCATGCCGGAGTATACTTACGTGCCTCGCCGCGCGCCCCTCCTCCCCCTCTCTCAAGTTTGAATGCTTGGCACTTTTGATCTCTGCGTGCGTGTGTGTATATTCGATCAGCTGTTCCTTATCGCATTCCATGTCGTTCACCCTGCTCTTTGGCGTTCGCCGCGAAGCCGCATGTGAAGCTGCAAGTATCCGAAAGGATTGAGGTGAAGGGCAAACGCTTCATATCAGATGCACGCCAAAACTGGCGCTTACCACTTTCAGCGATGTTTTGGCGGACGCTCACGGAAGCCCCAGGGCTTATCCCAATGCCATCGAAGGGGTTGCCCGGCTGCTGGCGTCCTGCGAAGCGTGACCACTCCGACCATGTGCTATGTCTACCACCCGCGGGGGGCCCTAAGAGCACAATTAACCCTGTCTTGCTGCCGTCTTCTTCGCCTTCGTTCTTTCGCGTCTATGCATTTTTTTCTTTGCGTCTTTTTCTCTCGCATTTCATTAGTCGACGAGGGATATTTCACATGCCATTGCACAATTCAAGGCTGTTACATTATTCAAGCTTCGACATTACTCTCTGAAACCTATTTCTTTCTGGGAGTCGCTCGGTCTCTTTACTAGACTCAATTTTAGTTTATTTATCAGTTAAATTAGTTTTTATTCAGCAAATATTGGTATGCAGAAGATAGTTTCCTATACTTATGATAGCACCTGGCGGGCGCGGGGAACGCAGCAATCTCAGCGAAAGCTGGAGGGACGGCCTTTCTTTTGTTCATTGTTATTCATCATTCTGTGGAAAGGTGATGTACCCTCTACATATCTGCAACCAATTATATGCAGTTCGTTGAAGCTGTGGCTGATGCGAAGAAATATGACTGAGCCCGAGGGCGTCCCACGCTGTCCTACGGCTGCGCCCTCGTCCTGCCTGCTGTACTATTTCGGGGGTTTGGCTGAAATCTGAGTAGCCGCTACTGAATTTCCTCTGAGACAGGCGTATCTTTAGCGTCAGAATTGATTAGCGAGTGTCTTTTTGGCTAGTGAATCCAAACAGATGCCGTTTTTTTTTTCACCTGACCTAAGGTCTTTCCTCTGGTCCTGCTTCTCTTCCTCCACAGCAGCTAACAGTGGACCAATTTTTACGCAATGGCATCACTTCCGTGCCTGTGGCCTTAATCTCATGCAACGAAGGTGTCATTACGTTGAAGAATCCAAAAGCGATTTAATACGGAACTGAGAGTACCGACAGTTTACTATCAGAGCATCGCCGAGGTCCGGCAGTATGGCAAG